TTTTTTTTTGCGTCTGCCATATGTTTCGGTGAGCTGGACAGATTTGCCCAATCAGACAGCCGCCATTGTATCGCTGTCGGCATGAAGAGGAGAGACGCGTTGTGCATCATGTGGTGACGACGCGTTGGGTCTTTTCTCCGTATCTCTTTCACAGCGAATGTTCTTCTCAGTTGTCACAGTGCGGCTGGCTGTCTCTCGTCCTGGGCTCTTATTGCATGTCCCGCCTCGCCTGGGTGAATACCTAACGCTGCTGTGGTTTGACAAAGAGGGCTGAAACCTGAGCAGCGTGTGGCAGGTCGGGTTCCAGCGGCGTTTGGCATGCGGCTACGCTGTTGATGCTCCAAATAGGTTTTGATTGATATCTTGAACAGATAGGGACCCAGGGGCTTACACGGGAGACCCCAGGAGACCCTCATGTGCACGTTCTGCTTGATGAAATCACTGAGTGATCCTAGGTTTTCTTCTTCTTTTTTAGTTTTTAAATGAACAGCCACAACTGCTTCAAGCCCGTGGGGGGAAAAAAAAGAAGCAGCACCGGGCTGACCTCCATTTACCCCAAATATCTACCCACTTATTTGAAAATAGAAATTAAGATGAATGTAGTTAACGTTTGTCGTTTTGTTCATTACTTTGTGAAACTAAGTTCAAGTACTGATGTGGCATTTCAATTTAAACCACGGATTCGTTTTGCACAATCTAATGACGTGTCCCACATGATAGATGCAGTTAAACATTAAGCGCAGCTCCTTTAGTACTGAAGTGGCAAAATAACCTTTTTACGTCTTCTTCTTTGAAGTTATTTTTGGTAACAACGCTCACCATGTGCACATCCAGCAGGAAAAGGTTCACGACTCTTCTTTCTGGATGCAGAACGGCTGCCACTCACACTGGTTTTGCCCGTGCGTTTTATTTCGTGGATTTGATGGAATTCCTCACACAAATGTTGTGGTAATTTGAGTTTCCCAGCATGCTGAAGAGTGACTTTGGGCGGCATTCCGCTCCGGCCCGCTCACCTCACTGTGTGTTCGTGTAGGCCTCTGTCTGACCACAGTGATGCTGTAGTCAGCAGCTTATTCTGGCTTCCACCGGTAGCATGTTGGTCACGGCGCGTGCGTTTCGGGCCATGGTGTGTGAGTGCGGCTGCCATGCTTAACAGACTGCAACTCTGTGTGACTGGCAACCGTTCAGTTATTGTACGTTTCCAGAAGAATACTGTCAGTATGCTATTTCCCCAATGTGGCCTCGTCCAGATGGGGGTCGGTTCGACTGCTCAGCCACACCCACCATTGGCATAAACGCATAGACCGCAGTATGCTTCATGTTAAGGGTTGACCGGGCTGAAATCCATCTCATCTCTTGATGGGAAGTAGTTTCAGCATCAGTGCTCAGGTGTGTAACTGAGGGTACAAAAAAAATGAAATGTTGCTTCATTTGATGAGCAATTTAGGCAACGGTCCGGCAGTTTCATGAGAAAAAGTGTATTTGAAAAAATGAAGACTCCACCTGCTCCGATACTGATTCCATGCAGGATGCGAGGTGCAGGACATTTCCGTGTGCCTCGCGGTGCACCGTGCCAACACCAGGAAACAGAGAGAGGGTACTCCTGTGGTTCTCACACCGGAATGGCTTCCCTTTCTGTATCACACCTTCTGCTAGAGGTTAGCCACATGGACAGAGGGAGACAGTCACTTTCAGCATTTTAGTTTTTCTTTCTTCGACTCAAAGCAGAATTACCATCTGCACACCGGGTCGCTTTTGTTGTTTTTCTGAGCTGTAACGCTAAAACTGTTATTTAACTCATCAGCTCTCAGTGTCAGCACTGCCATCACATTGTGTTCTACTTTAATGGTCTAATTAGCTTAAAAGCCACTGCGTGAATGCTATTTTCTCTGAGTGTTTGTGTCTCCGCCGCAGTTGAGATCACATCCACTGCCACAGTCTGTATTTCCCTCCTCTGCGATTGTGTTGTGTAGTTACATCCCACCGCCACTGGGCGGATACAGTTCATGGACCAGGGTGGTCGCTCTATGGAGGGCTAGGATTTCCTCTGTATGATCCGAGGTAGAACAAGGGTTTCTCCCACAGATGCACTCACATACGGATCAAGACGCACACAAAGCTATGTTTACTACACACGTTCTGCAGGGCTGAGGAAGTGTGCTCTGTGAGTCAAAAGCACCCGTCTCCTGCCACCCTCCCCAGAGCATCTTACATTACCATAAGAGTAGACCCGGCCAGACAGCCTGTGTGTGTGCAATTGTGTGAAAGAGAAAGTGAAATGCCAAGGTTTTTAATTTTTTTTACACGCGATAGTATGTGCTAACACAACACGCATTTGCATGTGTGCATTAATGTGAGGGCGCAATGCATCTCCCACCTTCCCACTACTCAGAGGCTAATCAAAGTCTGTCTGCCAGTGAATGTCTATTGTGTAGTGCTAATGTGATAGCAGAGATTAGCATTGTAATCCATTTAGCATAGAGCAGCTAATCCACTTTATTACTGTTGAAAAGAAATCAGATAATATTGGCTAGCACCACTGTAGCTGCCTAAATGATTTTAAGCTGATGAAAAATTACTGTAAAATATATTAATAATCACTGCAGCTGACTGAAACTCGGATTAGTTGTTTTATTAAAAAAAAAAAAAAAAAAAACGCTGCTGTTTTTAATCAAGGGAATTAAGGTATTGCTCATGTTTATGTGTCGGAAGTTATTGTTTTTGTATTATAAAAATCCTCAATAAACAGCTTCTTATTTAAATGTATTCCGTCAGCGTCATACACACTGTATCTGGTTTTATATTGCAGTTCCTTTAGCGTGATGCATCATGAGTTTGGTATCAGGAGCGATAAAGTCGTCTGCAAACCCTGGATGACACCGCTGTGTTATCTGAAAAATAAAGAATACAGAGGAGATCTGCTAATAAATACTTTTGCCAATTAGTGTCCAAATAGGTCCACTGGACTTTGAATTTAGTGTTTTCCTCCAGTCCCAGTGAGCCTGCGTTGCGTGCTTGCGGACGTGCGGTGCACTCCCCCGTGACCCATTTGTTTTATTGGTGGTCAGAAAGTGGTATAATACCCCCCCCCCCACCTCCCCGACAGAAAGCCCCTCTGCTCCCCAGTCAATATGGATCTGTCCCAGCACAATAAAACTCTATATTCAGCCTTTGCCGTTGACTCTCTGCCCTGTAACTGTGCTCGGTAATTGACACTTCCTTCATATGCGGCGGCGGTGAGCTGAAACACGCACGTCTTCACATACGTTTAAATGCAAGCGCATGCTGTGTACAGCGCTCGTACACACAGCGCCTCAAATGGACCCACCCGAGCGTGCGTATTAGATAACCCCACCTGCTGGATCGGTTGTCTTCCTTTCCGCCTTTCTCCTATTCGCCTTCTGTTCTTTCCTTTACAACTGACCCGAGAGCATACAATGGTTCCCAGAGAAAGTGTGCGAGGCTTTGATATACGCAGACTTCAGGTCCTTGGAGATCAGGATCGCGAGCCAAGCAGGAGGCAGAGCGAGCGAGAGCGAAAGAACAACGGAGAGCTGAAGTCGGGTGAAATCAGGGTGAAAGATGGTGCCTGTTTAAAGAAATGTCATGTTGTGAAAGGGGATATCAGTGGAAGCAGCAGGAGTAGGGCAGAAGGAATACTGCACCATGTGCACTCGGGTTTCGCTCTCTTAATAGTTGAAGAAAAGTTCCGTCGGACTGAAACAGAGCGGCGGATGGTTTTTCGACTGGTTTATGTTACAGTGGGGGATAAAGTCACGGGCTGGAGCACCTGCCATTAACTAAAGGATGTTTTCTTTGATTCTAGCGGCTATTTGGTAATGATCTGACTCTTTTTGGTTTCTAACCATAAATCTAAGCAAAGTAAGATCGAGCTGGTCGTCCCGTAACAAAGGCCTGTTTTGTTTTTAGTGGGTACGGCCCCGATTTACTGGACGGTTCAGTCTATAAAGTTCCAGTAGCTGAGCCTTTTATGGCCTTTAATGAGCTTTATTAATAATGAATTCCTCATAAAGTGACTCACCTGCCTACCCGACCATCTGCTTGCTGTCCAATTATCTCCTGTTCTTTGCGCCGGGTTACCCGCGAACCCTTAAGTGCTGGAGAGCACAGCGAACTACCAAGAGGCATCACAACTGCAACAAGTCTGGCTTCACACCTGTCCGCAATCCCACGCGGATCTGTGTGTGTGTGTGTGTGTGTGTGTTAGTGGGGAAACTGCAGCCAGAGGAGCAGATTTTGAAAGCATCATTTGGAACACACCGTGTGCGTTTGTTTGTGTGCGACGATGTAAGCAGATGTCCGGGCCCCACCGTCACACCGCCGAGTGTGCGCGGGGGACAATTCTGTGCATTTTCTGCCGAGTAAACACACCTCGGGGCTCACAAAGCACACCTCTAACCCAGATGCCTTATTACGGTAATCACCTTTGGAGGTCTGAAACGTTGAGCCTCTGCGGTGCAGCATAGTGAGCCATGATGCGTGGGAATATCCCAAGGCTATAAGTGGCTGACAGGCAATTCTGTCAATAATTGTTTTCAAAAGTACCTTTTTACTGATACCCCGGTGCCTAATTGCACACTGTTTTGTCCTTAAATGAGAATTTGCCAAGTCCTTTTTTTGTGAAAGGCAATATTACTCTTCCTCACTTTGCATCTGTTTTTAACATCTGCCATTCTTTAAACACACTTACTGAGTCTCATGATTTACTCTTTAATTATTACAGCTGCTTCTAGGACAAAGATGTTTTTTTTCCCTTCTCTTAAATCACTAAGTTTAAAATTGTTTTGGCGCTTGGCACTAATTCCACAAGAGTAGCAGTAGTAATAACGGTTGTGATAATATACGTCATTCAATGTTTTAAATGTCTTCTTTTGTTGAACTACGTTATTCTTGTAATACCTGTGGAGCAATGCGAGCGCCACGCTGGTTATTCATTAACTCCATACGTTAATTGTCGGGACGCTTCTGTGTTTTTCCAGATCCGGGTAGACGGCTCCTCTCGCGCCCAGCAGTACGAGACTGTGCAGGCGGTGGAGAACGGACCCATCCTGCGAGACATGGCCTTCTCTTCCGACCACCACTACCTCTACGTTATGTCTGAGACCCAGGTTAGACCCGCACACTCACAGACGCACACAGACACGCTGAGTCCATATCATAACCACTGGCATTTATCATTTTCTCGTGTCACAGGGTACAGTAACCTTTGGTGTAGCGTGGAGGATTTCATTACAGCCTTGCTGGTGGAGAGAAAAGGATTAGGTAGACCGTTGGCTGCTGTGACCAAGTCTTTTTATAGAAACGGACTGCGAGGGGAGAGTTGGAGTGAATAAATGCATTGCATTATAGGGAGAGTGGTCTGAGTCCACGTGTGTGTGTGTGTGTGTGTGTGTGTGTGTGTGTGTGTAGATGCACAGATTCACAGGTACCCACTATCTCTCTTAGTACCTTTGATAACACGGAATGTGGAGCGAAATAGCAGCACTCTGTGTAATGGCCGCAGACACAGTGAGTCGTCTGCGAACACCTCTATCACAGGCGAAGCTCCGCTTAAATGGCTCCACAGAAAGTCCGTAAACACGCGCATAGTTGTGACTTTCACCGTCACCGAGACACACAGCTAAAAGCGTGCGCAAACATTATGTGTAACACATGCACGGCAGGTAAGGCAAGGCAGAGGACATCATCGGGCGACGGTAAGGCGATTCATAATATTAAAAGACACACATGAATAGGATTTCAAATAAAGAAGAAAGAAAACAAAGATGATATGATGGGAGGCAGTGGCAAACGTTCAAAGCCCCGATCTAATAAAACGGGGAGCCGGAGAAGTGTTTGAACAGTAAACACAGACTTACTTCCTACCGTTTAGCAAAAGCACATTTGTTTCATCGGGGATGGCGATCTAATCAGACCACCAGTTGAATAATCCATTGTGGAGCTTTCTCCTTTCAGTTCAGTATGTCCCCATTTATCGGTCATCATTACGAGTGCGACCGTTAGAAATAAGTTGAGCTGAGATAATATGCATATCATTCCGCCCGCTCCCTTCCCGTTATCTCCTGCCACGAGTAATCGCAGAAGGCCACTGCTGTTTGGTGGGCAGCGATAGCCCAGTGGCCTCTGTATATTGTCTGCAGCGGATTAGAGACCCCTCTGGCACCATCAAAGTGTCAGTGTTTCCTAACGTGTGGCGCACTTTGTTTGCTTAACTGCTAGAACATTTTAATAGCCCAGATTGTCCAGATAACACTTTAAATATCAGACAGAGTCTGTGCCCTTTCAGATGCGGCACTCGTCGCCTCCACGGAGGTCTCAGTGGGTAGGAAAGGAAGGAAGGAAGGAAGGAGTGAGTGAGGGTGGGGGGGGGCACAACTTAGCACAATAAAGCAAAATGAATATGCTACTTTATCATGGTATCAAGTTACACACTTTTGTATAAATCTGTTAATCAGGAAGGTTATTTTATTCTCTCTTGTATTGCAGTGTGTGTAATTGGGCTTCCAGGAGATATTACAGAATATGGAATGAATTATTAAGAATACTTCATTTACATTTCTTCCCATTATGTTGGATTCCTTTTTGTCTCGCTATTATTGCCCAACATTGTGTTACACATTTAGCATTTTTAATTTGCATGCCAATTATCTTATATTGACAACAGCTGTGTGTGTGTGTGTGTGTGTGTGTGTGTGTGTGTGTGTGTGTGTGTGTGTGTGTGTGTGTGTGTGTGTGTGTGTGCGTGTGCACGTTAGGCCTTTATAGTAATAAGTCTATTAGCATAGTTTCAGGGCCGACCTCCACTAACTGAACTGTTGAACATTTGGGAATTACACTAAACACAAATATAAAAAGTAGTTAAAGAATACGCACACCAAGACACACGCTCCTTTAATGCAGAAGGGTTTATTGAACACAAATGAGTAAATGAATACAATTTAAAATATTCATTCCATTAACAAATTCAAACCTTTTATAACTGATGTTTTTTATAGAGCAGAACATTTGAGCCAGATTCCTATTGAATTGAATTGAATTTATTACCAATATTTGATCAATAATTCCGCAATACCGTTTTCTTCAGTCGGTTACATCAGTTACATCTTAACCATAGCTGAAATACACTGCTTTATTACCAGCAGCACCTACCTGACTCACTGCTCAACACAGCAACGTTTGCAAGTGTCTGCAATCACTCCAGGAGATGCGAGCAAATTGCTTCATCTACAGTTTAGAGGACAATATTTGGGCAGGTTTGTTCTCACAGCCTTCTCTCCAGCAAGTTGATCATCGGCGGTTTCTCTGCAAACTACAAACTGATTCATACCCTGTCCTGCTGTTGCCTCGTCATGTCAAAGAGGGTCACCGCATGTGCTAGAAAACAAATTGATAAAGGTACTGACATTAACAATCGATTAGTGTCGTTTTGAACTTTTCTCGCCGACCTCGCCCAGCCAAAGTTCAGAGGTCGTGTCGAGGTCGGCCGTACACGCACGCGTTTTGAATAAGCGTTCTGCCCGCTTCATCAGGGTGCAGCTCCGCAGTAACAGCTTGCACGGATACACACGTGCCCGTTTTCCCCCGGCGGAGGCAAACGCTATTAAAGCAGCCCGAGCCGGTCGATAGCAGAAAGCCCACCTGCTGTTTCCCGGGGCCCGGGACCCAGACACTCAGAGAGGAGAGCTGGATGTAACCAGGGAGAAACACAGAAAGGGGAAAACGCACCATAGAAAGAGGGAGAACAAAGTGGGTCGATGCAGCTGCCCTCCCGCTGCCGCCGACCAAGAGACGGACGTCCTCTGGGTCCCGGCTGCTCGCGGATTCCAGTGCAGGACAGAGATGGTCGGACTGTGATGTAGGAGAGCAGACGAGGAGGAGAGGGTACTGAGAAAGGGTGTTATTGAGTAAAAGAATTGGTACGTGGCCGTTCATATGACAGAAGACTGTGCTGAATTGTGCGATTCTTCGTTGCCATTGTTTGTTTTGAAGGTTTTATACGTATCTGTTGAATTCGTATCTCTGTCTTTGTCATCGTGGCAAAAATGCGCTCGGAGAGACTCCCACTTCAGCAGGAACTTCCACAAGAGCAGTTTTGAAGCCGTTTTGCTCGGTGTTTATGTGTCTGTGGAAAGGTTTTGTGAACCGGATAGCATCCCGACTGTGCGAGATGCTGTCACGAAACTTTGCAGGCATGCAGTGGAGAACAAAATGGAGGCAGAGTACAAAGGCGCTTGTGGTTTGAGGAAGTGCGCTAGAATCAGGGGGCCAGGGAATAAGATGAAAATAAAATTTGCTGGGCTTGTGTTGTGCTTATAGAAACGTCTGCGCTAGACGTCTACCTGCAAACTCCAGCCGTCACCACGCTTAATTAAATAGACACAATGAATGAGTTTTTTTCTGCAAACATGATTATCATCATTTCCCGTCAGAGAATAGAAGAACGTGAACGTGATTAACTGTTGCTCTGTAAGTCCTGGAAGGCGCCCTGACAATGAACAACGCATCCGTCTGGTGTCATGTTAGTGTGATGATAATGAACCATAAATACATTAGAATGTAGTAACGTGCACACCTTTTAGTGTAACCAGCGTCAGGCCGGGGCCCCCGTGCTGAGGGTGACGCTGTACGCCGCTTTATCTGTGTCACATTATACGCTCATTAGAGAAGAAAGCCTAACACGCCCATGCAGTGTCCTGGCTCCACATCCCAGTTGTTGTATTTTCTCATCCATTCATTTAATTTCTCTTCCATCCTTGCAATCAATTTTCTTTTTCCCCGCCATCCTGTGACTGTCCCCTTTGTTACATTTCTTTTTCTCTTTCAGGATTATAGATTCTGCTCCCACAACCCGTATTCATTTCTAAGGGGATTTGTAAAGCAAATGAGGATCCAGCCTTTTGTGTTCCTTGTTCCTCTTTCTTCATTTCCCTTTTCTACATTTTTATTTCCTTTCCAACCACTACCCTTTGTCCTTTTTACCCCACTCATTGCCCGTCCCGGATAGCAGAGGAATCTGTCATCCCGCCACCCTCGGTAATCCAGTGATTGCCTATCCTCTAATTAGATCCTACTCTCTCTCTCTCTCTCACACACACAAGTCAACCTATCAGTGGGTTAAATAGATGTTCTGGCGCAAAGAGGACAGTCCGATTAAACGCTGGGCTGTGATTGTGCGTGTCAGGGTTGTTGTTTGAGTGACAGGGGCAGGTCAAATCCCACTGTTAATGTCAGCCGCTGCTGTTCTTCACTACTGCGGAACTATCCTGTTAACACGGGTTCATTCGTCAACCACAAAGAGGACATCTGGGGAGAGGAGATGAGTCGTGTGAGTGGAGGGTGGGGAATCGTTTCCACGGCTATTTCAGAATGGAAATTTGCAAGTACAAATCACACACTTATGGTTTTAGCAGGAGCGATAAAGTTATTATTTATTATTATTGTTTATTATTAAAGTAGATTGGGAAAAACCGTTTGATGAAGTGATAAACAGTTATTAAAGTCAACAGTGAAATGGAAAGTTGGCACAAAGAACTCCACAAGTTTAAGGATATAAGCGTAGCTCATGCTGCTGTTTCAATGTCTGGTCCTCTTTAATATATTCAGATTCCATTCCAAAAAGCAGACATCAGTATAAAAAAACTTTCAATTATTTATTAGTTACTGGCATCTTTTCAATGTATGACTATTCATAACCACTCATATTTATAAGTATATATAAGTATAAGTATATATAAGTATTATGTATCTTTCAAAATTTCTATTTTGTAATTAACCCCCTTTAACTTGTTTGGAATATAATACCTCTTACATACTATATTATTTTGTACAAGTTAACCAGGAATACATTTTTGTGGCCTCATCTTTTACACAACCGTAGTCATACCAATACCATCCGGCAACATATACACAGGAAACGGCAGAATTTATCCCGCCATCAACTGTTCAGTCAGTTAGAGGTCAGATAGATGAAGTATTTTTTTACATGGTTTACTAGCTTAATTATTCTCGTAATAACACATATCATGGATTTTACATTACATTTTACATAAACTGTTGCTCGAAAGACTGCCAGACTCATGGCGTAAATTATTAACATTCAGAGTAGCGA